CATTGGGTTGGTGATTATGACTGGGACTATGGTGTGCAGGGGGGAGGGTTAAACAACAACTCCTCTGATTCTCTACCTTCTCCTGCACACCTTGCCTACAGCACTTTCCCAATTTAAAAAACTTCTAAATAAGAAAAAGAGCAGTCTGCAATAAATAATAAAGCTGAAATAATTGGGAAGAAGCCCCTAAACAAGAGCCATGCAAAAATTAGTTGTGGCTTTTTAAATATATATGTTATATCTAGTGAGTCTAGCTGCTGCGACTAGATTTCTAGAGTTTTGTCTCTAGAAATCCCTGTCTGTCCTTACCCCATCCCTGCCGCCGCCACTGTCATCAATATAGCACACTTCAAGTGCATTCCACTTTTTTCTAATCAAACTGTTACTATATTCTCTGTCATCTTTAAAGACAGGACACCTTTACCACCTGCAAAATATAACATGCTCTGTCACTTGACTCCAATCAATCCACAACAATCAGATATTCAAGTTGTCAAAATGGAAAGCTGTAGCTTATAACTGCCACTCTTGTTTGGGTGCCAACCTTTACTTTCAAGTTTTTAAGTGTTCCAACTATGCTTCAGTTTAATGGGTTGGTGTTTCTTTTAAGATCTCCAAATGTCTTTTCCCATCTGATTGGTGGGGATTGGGGGGGGGGGGGGAAATCCTTCTCCCTTTAAAAAAATCTTTAAAGACTTCTCTCTGAGACAAAAGAATGCACCTAATTGTCTGAAAATTGTCACGCTTCATCCTCTTAGTGCATCCTGTTATGCCAGCAAATTTACCCAATTCTGCCAAATTAAAAATGGGAGGTGCCCTAAATGTGAAAATAACCTATCACAAAAATTAATGCACCTATTTGCATGCCCCCCTCCCCGGTGCATCACCTCAGAATTGGCTGCTGTGCTTGCAATTTCCATCCAATTCTTGTTTCATTTCCTTCTTATAGTCAATGGAATTTCCTAAAGCAAGGGTTTACTTTGCAGTGACATTCCAAATACCCAAAATATATGGGCCAAATATTGTTGGGACCTGGAGACAGATTCTCCCCCCCCCCCACAAAATGTGTGTGTTAAAACTCCTGCATTGTTTTCCATTCATAACAACCTTCAATAAAAAGCATTTTCTCTTGTTTCTTGCTGAACCATCTGTATTTACTCTGCCATGAATGGTGAGGTGATTTCAGCAATACTTTTGCTGTAAACATAAACTCTGCAAACATGAAGAAAAACAGAGTATTTGTTTTGACATTATCCTTTTGGTTCCTCAAATTTTGTGTACTGATTTTAATCTTCGCTTTCCCCCTCTCTTTCACACTCATCATAAGCACACGCACACACAGCAGACATCTTGCTCTCACACATTGGTCTCAGATACAGATTTGTTGTCCTCTTCCCCAAAGTCTACAGTATATGTTTATGCAGGAAGAAGGCAAGGCTATCTAAGCTTCAACCGTCATGCGTAGACTATGAAAGACTGAAGAGGGGCACCAATGCTGTATGCTTCACTGCTTTCACAGTCAATTCCTCTTCCCAGTAAACTTGTTATGGTAGCTCTGGGAGGGGAATAGGGGTCTCCTGATAGCTCTCAGTATCCTTAACATATTGCACTTCCCAACATTCTTTGGGGGAATGCATGACAGTTTAAAGTGGTATGAAATGGCTTTAAAAGTACAGTGCAGATGGGACGCTAGTAAAGAGTACTCAGCTACATGGACCATTGACATGACTCAGCATAAAGCAACTTCTATGTTGCTACAATGGTTCCATTAGAGTAGTCCTCTAATGTGGGTGGAAATGTCACAATTATTGTAACAATAGGTAAGGTAAAGGTAAAGGTACCCCTGCCCGTACGGGCCAGTCGTGTCCGACTCTAGGGTTGTGCGCCCATCTCACTTAAGAGGCCAGGGGCCAGCGCTGTCCGGAGACACTTCCGGGTTACGTGGCCAGCGTGACAAAGCTGCTCTGGCGAGCCAGCACCAGAGCAGCATACAGAAACGCCGTTTACCTTCCCGCTATAAAGCGGTACCTATTTATCTACTTGCACTTAAGAGTGCTTTCGAACTGCTAGGTGGGCAGGAGCTGGGACCGAAAGACGGGAGCTCACCCCACCGCAGGGATTCGAACCACCGACCATACGATCGGCAAGTCCTAGGCGCTGAGGTTTTACCCACAGCGCCACCTGCGTCCCATAACACATAGGTAGTTAGACCCTAAGTGAAGGAACTTTGTTGAGTGGGTTTTCACACTTACGTTTCAGTGGTGCAAGAAGTGAAAGCGACTATCACTAGAACAGAATGCTGAGCCAATTTACTGCTCCTCAGGGGCATTTGCAATTTATCTAATAATTTTTTTCCCTCCTTGATTATTATTTTTTAAAGAGACGTATAATCAGGAAAGTGTAAGCAGCACTTGGAATTGCTGATTTTTCTTGAGGTTGTATTTGGCCTGCCATAACTCTTTTAGTTAGTTGCAAAGGGCCATCCTGCTTCTCACTCTATGTTAAAAGCAATCAAACCATGGAGAAATCATTGGTATTTCTCTCTCTCTCTCCCTCTGTGTATACGCACACAAAACACAGTGACAGCTTTCATGAAGGGTTGATGCCTTTCACACTGTACTTGTAGTTGTGCAGCTGCATTAACTTGTCCAGGAGTAGCCAGGTTAGCTTTTTTGCAGCAAAAACAAGATCCTTGGAACACATTTATGAAAGCATATGCTTTCCTGGAGTGCAGTCCATTTCATGAGATTCATAAAGTGCAACCCCACATTGGCAGGCAGATATTCATATGGTTGGGGTGGGAGATAGAGAAGAGTGAGGTCAGAGGATAATAAAATACAAAAGCAGGGGTGTTCATACATTATATTCAATGAGTGTACGGTATATGTTGACACATAACAGTTCTACAATGTAACAGTTGCACATCTGTCCAAATCAATGAGTTTACAGTTAGTAAACAGTTAGTATCTGTGTTCAGAGTTACACGTGAACAATTGCATAAAAAGCAATTGTATAAAAGCAAAATAGTTACAGAGGCCATTAGCAAAGCAGTGCTGGTGGTAAGAACAAAGGACATTATCCCCTACTGGCATTTCTTTTTCCTCTGATGTCCATTCTTCTCATCCCCACCATGCATGAAACTGACAGATTCATACATCCTTTGAGGACATAGCCACTTCCGGCCTGCCCAGGAGGTGGGGTTGCGGGCTTCACGCCCACCCCCCACGTGAGCGGGGGCTGGTTTCAGCCCCCGCGAGAGCAGGGGAATCCCGGCCGTATCTGCCCTATTTAGGGCCGGCACAGAGGGGGCTCGCCCTCTTTTCGCCGGCATTTAACCTTAAAAAAAAATTCAGATGTGGGAAATGACATGTGGCTTACTGATATAGCAAAGGGGGTAAGGGATTGGTTTCAGGCATGAGAGTATTGGCGGCGAGCGATTGCTCTTGTGGCGGTAGGCATTGGTAAGAAGGGGTTAAGAGGATGGGGGGGAGGAACGCCATCACCTCCCCCCAGTGAGCGAAGGGTGGTCCGTTAAGGACTCCAGGGGGCGTGGCCCTGTCCAAAGCCTATGGAGGTGTGGGCCAAAGGCACGCCCCCGAGCGGTGACCCGGGGGAGCTCCTAGTCGACATGCCTCGGCAGGAGACTCCCCCGATATAGTGTTAACCCTTCCCCGTGTCTCCAGCAAATGGGCTGGAGCCGGATAGTCGTTAGGACCAATGCCTAAGCCAATGCCTCTCATTCCTGAATTCAATAAAGTTGTGGCCTAATTCGCCCATTTAACCTTAAACTATGGTGTCTCGTGTCTTTATTTATCCTGGTGGGGGGCGGGAACTCGCCACGCAATGTTGGAGACAAGCCAGTATGATCTCACTCACCCCTTGCTAGCTTAGTTTGCAGGCAGATATGGGCTTGAATGAACACCCCTTTGATTGTTGGGATCCAATAAGGATGGAAGTCTTGAATAGACCATCGATTGGATTATAGCAGGCAGAGATGAAAATGCATTGATTAATTAAAGCAGTAGAGAGAGTTACTGAGCAACAGGGGAACTTTAAAAAATGAAGAACACTGACATATTCCAGCTAGATCTCTATTATGAGATTTGCGAGGGATTCCAGCTGTTGGAAAGCATTTATCCATGAGAAATCCAGTGGGGATTTGGGAAAGGATTCAAAATTTCCTTTTGAAAAGCATTACCACTTTGCAGCTGCGACTATTTCCTGTTTGGAGAAGCAGTGGTGATCAGGTCTTTGAGCTCAGCAAAAAGCAACACTGTGTATCCTGATGCAGGTAAACACTTGTTAATTGTCCTGTAGGATGATTTCCCACCCCTCAAAGGAAAGGTATTTTTACAGGCTATTGAAACATCTGAGGAGCTGTAATAAGCATCACCGTACCTATTAACAAGAGAAACAAAAAGCAGTTGAAGCGGCAAAATGAAACTGGTAGTTCTCTTTACTTGAACAATGTCTATAAAAGAACCCAGTGGGAGAGCCAACTTCAAACCAGGGGAAAGGTAGTAATTGCGGGCACAAGCGCTAAACCCTGTCTGTGATGCCTACCCTTTTCCCCAAAGAATGAGACAAGAGACCAGAACATGGGTTCAAATTGGCCACAACTTTATTAAGCCTCAGAAGTGGGAAACTTAGCATAGGCCTTGGCAGGTAACCCTCTCAGCCTGTCTGGCTGAGAATATGAAGGCTGATGAGATCCAGTGAGAGGGGACTGTAAAGCACAAACTTACACAGCATGGTCTTCCACTGACCTTGTCCCGGGAGTTTGACCTACATGCCACCACTCTAGGGCCAGGGACTCCCGGTTTTGCCCTTTAACAGGCCCTGCAAGCACCGCTGCATGGGAAGGGAGCATGAATGCACCCCCCCAACTTGATGATAGACTAAAGGATACCTTGCCAAGGCCTAAAACTGCCATCCGAGGTCCCTAAGGGCCTCGCCGCCAAGAGTCCCACAACCGAGGAACAATCACCCATGCTCTGCCATCAAACCCTGCTGTCTACCCAGTCCCTGAGGATTTGTTGCAAGTCGTGCAGCCAGAGGTCATTACCAAATGGTGTCAGATGCACTCTATCCGCCCTGAATATGCCGGCCGTACCTGCCCTGATGGTGGGATGTGGGATAGAGAATCCGCCGATCTGCCGCATGAGATTGCGCATGGCCCTGTTGATTTTTTTCACCGCATAATTGATGCGAGAGGGATTGGAAACTCCTCTCCAGCACAGGCGGGGGAGGAGATTCGACCAGCCGATGCCCATTGCTGGGTACAAGGCATGCAAGTTTTCTATATCTGCCCTTGCAGCAAGGGTCAGGGCAATGCCTTTTTGTTCAACTAGATCATTTCCCCCCAGGTGCAAAATCAAGACTCTTGGAGGGCCATGCACTGCCGCAGCCTTACTCAGCATGGCCACCAAGTGGAGTGCTAGCAGGCCACTGTTTCCCAATTATCCATGCTTATACTGCATTTTTTAAGATTTGCCTTGAGAGCATCTTTAAACCTCTTTTGTTGTCCACCAGTATTTCATTTTCCATTATTAAGCTGGGAATAGAGTAGTTGCTTTGGAAGACAATAATCAGGCATCCAAACCGCATGACCAATCCAAAAAAGATGATGTTGAACAATCATTGCTCCGACACTGGTGATCTTTGCTTCTTCCAATACACTGACATTAGTTCCCCTGTCTTCCAAAGTGATGTGTAAAAAAATTTCAGAGACACCATTGATGGGATTTTTTGAGGTGTTGGAGATGGAAATCAGTATCTATCCCAGATGAATAAGTCTAGCTAAAGTTGATGAAAGTTAGGATAGAGTGATCCTTTCAACTACATATGAATAGCACACTGTGCAATAAAAATATTTAACGGAAACCAAAGAACAGCTTCTTCTCCTTCTTCTAGTTATGGTCATTATCATTATTATCACATTTTATTATCTGCCATTCATCCCAAGATCCCAGGGTGGGTTAGGACAATTAAAATGCTGTGTCTTACATGTTTGTTGGTTTCTTTGCTAGATTGAAGGTCGCCAATGTGCATAGCTGTCAATTTTTCCCTTTTCTTGCGAGGAATCCTATTTGGAATAAGGGAATTTCCCTTTTAAAAAGGGAAATGTTGACAGCTATGCCAATGTGGCAACTGAGTACCTCCTGCCAGTACCTTCTGTGGTACCGGTATGTGGTCACAGTAAAATATCCCCTTAAAATCTAGATGCAAGAGATTGATAGCTCTCCCTTCTCAGTTCCTGTTTGCACTAGCTCAGTCTCTCCTATCCTGAACATGCTCACATTTCATTGGACACCCACCCGCCCTTGCATTTTGAACAGAGAGGAGGTGCAAAGAGCTTATCTCTGAGCTGCTGATGCAGGTGTCTTTTACCCCTTGATTGAGGAGTGGGTGATGGGAAAACATCTGCATAGGTTTTTTTTTTATTGTGTCTCTTTTCCTGCTGGTTTTAGATGCAGAAGCCATTTTGTGCTAGCCATTTTGCAACACTCATGGCACTTTCCCATAATATGTGCTCTAAATATCTGTCTTTGCAAATCACATCCCCTGAAACCATAACCCATTCATCTGTAGACGGGTGTACAAAGGTTTGTGACATCTTTTGAAATAGTCACTGGCGATTTCCTCCCACTGTGGGTCAGGGAGAGTGAGGAGAATGCCCTTTGATGTTTTGTTTTTTTTTTAAATCATAATCGTTGTTCCTTAGGTTTTGAAGTTAAGGATCTAGTAAATGTACAAAATGCTTTGTGTTCACAAAAGTGAAGGGGAACTTGTAAAATACTTCATCAACTGCAGATACTGTTCAAGCCACCTCCTTGAGGGAAAAAACACACATCAGAGCCCCTTTGAAGAGTCTACATTCAGCAATCCTGATATATGATGAGTGAACATAAGGCAGCAAACAAATCTGTTCTCTGAACTTTCCGAACAACAGATTAAACATAATCTCTTTATGGGTATAATTTTTTTAATCTCACCATTAAAATGAAATGTAGCTACAGCCTTTTGGTCTTTGTTTCTACTTTTAACAAAAAACCACGAAGAAGAAAGAAGAAGAAATGAGGCCTGTGTATGTGTCTGCATGTATATACACCTCAGATGTGCTCCCCTCATTATGAACATGCCCACCCCCCACCCCCCCGCATTTCAACCTGATCAAGAGCTGGAAGAAATTTAAAGGCAGTCTTTGATAGGAAGATAGATAGATGTGACACGGTACAGACAAAATGCTATATCTAAGCCTAATTTGCCCTTTTTAAAGCAATATATTAGCCAAAACACAACCTTCCTTCACAATTTGCACTGCTGTGGATTTTGCAATGCTGTGCTCCAGTAATGTGTATAAAGATGTATATGCCAGACTAAAATGTGCATATAACTGCATATATTACTGAACATATAATAAAATATGCAATAAATTACGGGGAACTGTTTTTTGTCAAAAAAAAAAAAGATTGCATATAAAAATATGTCTAGTAGGAGAAATTTGCACAAATATGCAGGTGAATCCTCATGATGAAGACTTTTAAAAAGAAATCTACAAATTGATGGGGAAGTGCAGAAGATCAGAAGATCAGAAAAATGAGAAACCAAAACATTCACCCGTCCCTAATCTCAGGCTTCCACATTCTCATGTGCCTTCTTGATTGGGAGCAACTATAGTTTGCTCCATTCAGACGTCTGAGAAATCCATTGACTATTCCAGTGAAAAGTATGCATATACAGGGTTTATCTTGCCATTAGGCAAACTAAGCGAGCTGCCTCCAGTTGAATGTTAATTATTTGTTGTCAGGGAGGAGGAGCTTTTGTGGGATTTTCTCCGAGGGATGGCAAAATATCCTGATTAGCCTTGGATATTTTGTATCTTGATTTGGTAGGAGAAGGGCTTCCATTTGCTGCTCTGCCTCAGGCGGCAAAGTGCCTGGGGTTGGCTTTGTACACATGTGGGCTCCTCCAAATCAACTGTGTTCATCATTCGTCTTGATTTGCTTGCACAAGGTTCATGTAGAGATTAGACTATGTCTGGTCTTTATTGAGTATTCCTTCTAATTTGCTTGTGGGATATTTCTATATATTCCCATTAATCATTTGCTCATTCCATACTTTTATGTTTATTTCCCCATTGTTTTCCTAACCACAAAAAGTCATTGTTGTTTGGTTGTTTGATTGTAAAAAGTGGACTTGTTGCATTAGGGCAATACAACACTTTAATTCATTTTTAATTGCACAAACCTAAATTCCGGGTACGTGCATCCATCCATCCTCAAAATAATGAGTCTGGGGGGCACACTATGTATGTCTGTACATAAAAAGCTGCCTTATATTGAGTATAGCTCCTTCATGTCTGACTGGCAGACACTCTCCAAGGTTTCAGACAAAATTCCCCCCCAGCCGTATTTGGAGATGCTGGAGATTGAACTCTTTGCATACAGTGCTGATCTCCTGGATTTGCACTTGATAAAGCTACAATTACCTAAGTTCAAGTCCCTTTGTTTAGTATCTCTTGCAGCTCTGCACATCCAAGGAATTGAGGCTGTATTCATTTTTTATCTAATTTGAGCTAAGCCAGCCAAAGTACGAGCCTCATGAATAGCTCCTCTCCTGCAATGAACAAGCACCAATGAGCATTTCAAGGCTGTAGTTTAGAGGAGCAACACAAATGCAATGCATTTTTCCCCTAATGAGATTTTCTGATTTCTTTCAACATTTTTGATCCTCTCTTCTTCTTTTCCCAAGTAACAAAAAAATAAATAAAATACAATCAACTGGAACAAGCTAGTGTCTGAGCGGCATTTCACAGTTATTCAGAATTATGAATTCTGACTGACTACCAGATGCTAAATCAGTGGAAACTGCCTATACAATGATTGCCAATTGAGCAACAAACCTCTTCAAAGTGGTTTGGATCTCTTTTCAGCAAAACTGTTCAATCTATTTAATGCCGCCACTGCATTACCCAAGATGTACAGCAGTTTTCTATTTACTGGAACGCTCGCAGCATTATATCACTCGCTTGTGAACTCTATCTAAATTAACACCCACCTCTTGCTGTTACACCTCGAGGAAAGAAACATTTACTTCCTTCCCAGCCTTTTGAAAATACAAAAGGGGGGCAGGGAGGGAGGGAGAGAGGAAGGATATAAATAACAAACATCAATAGCGTGTTTAAGGAATATTTTAAAATTCGCTTGCTGAATTGAGAGGGGGGAGAGAGAAAAAACATGACTGCAAACATGATTCTGTTCTTCCAAGAAATTGGTTTTATGTTGATTGTTGCCAGCTTTCTCTTTGTGCTTCGGATAAAATCTTGAGAACAGAACAATCCTGAAGAGCGGAGAATGTGGCAATCGAGGAGCCTGCTGATAAGGGAGCATCTCCTGGGAAGCAGCATTAGGGTGAGTTTATACACAATCAAGATGTGTGCAGTTATCTCCTTGTTCTTTGTCACCTGGGTTCTGGAAAAGACAACTGCGGATTTAGATTTAAAAGTGCATGCCCTACTAATAGGGAAATATATGCATAGCTTGTTGTTTTTTTGCTTTGCGGTTTTGGGCCAGAAAAAAGCAATCTGGAGTTTAATATTGCACCCCAAAGAGACCAATAATAAATACTGGTAGGGGGATAGGGAATATCTGGCTTTTCAGATGCTGCTGAAATACAACTCGTTATCCCTGGCTGTTCCCCATGCTGGCTGGGGCATTTATATGTTGATGTCCAACAACAACTGGAGGACCACAGGTTTTCCATCTCTGATCTAGGGATAGAGAAACCTTATTCTTTCTTACAAAAGATAAACTGCACACTTGCCAGAAAAAAAGTTCACAAAAGCCTGCCTTACAGCAGGTCTGGCAATTTTTTCATCTAGCCTATTATTGCTTAGACCAGGGTCACCAGCATTGGCTCCTGCACCTGAACCCAAAAAAGGACTTGCCTGTAAGTCTGTCCCCACTGAAGTAAGCATTCTCTTACAGCCAGTAAAATAGCATGCAGGCTATGCTCAGTGTACTGTGGTGCACACAATAGTTTTTTTCCAGTATACAAAAGTGTACATGGAGCATAAAATGTTGACCATCTTTCTTCTACAATGTCTAGCAGTAGCTCTACATGAGAGTCAAGCAAAGGTCTTTCTTCATAACCAGAGGTAATGGGGGTTGAACCTAGGAATATCTGGCTCAAAATGTGGCTATCCAGCTACTGTCTGCAGTCGGGTGACTGCAGATATTCCACCTAGTCCTAGATTGTACCTGTTTCACTGGCAGAAAGTGAGTTCCCAGGCCTATTTCCCTACATGGTTTGGGCCCAGGTTACTTGAAGAACTGCCTGCATCCATATCAACCTGCCCATACCCTGAGAACAACATTAGAAGGCTTCCTCAGATGCTCACCAGTTGATGGCCACTGAT